TATATAGTCATTTACTTTGATGCTGCAACACAGAGAGCCGTAACTGCACAGAGCTGTTGTGCAGGTTGCAGCCGAGACCAGAGAAACCTGCCTGTGATTTCTCCAACTCTGCTTTATGGCTGTCGCATTTCATCACCACGATGGTAACAAATAGATCAACTTAGAAGCAATGTAAAAAATGACAGACTTTATGAACCCCAACTCAATTAAGCTTTTACGAGTCCTCTGATAATAAGAGGCGTATTTATTCTCATTTACCCTCACGTTGCTCTGGTGTGGGAAACACAGAATGCACATTTGCTTTAATGAAATTAGCGGGAGCGGGTGATTTGTGGCGCTCCATCAAATCGCAGACGAAATCTGCCAACGCTGAAACTGATGTGTTAGCAGCACTAATCTCAACAGTTATTTAATATTACACAGGGAAAACAGGAGTGTTTGTATGGCTGTGGATTTACAGCCATTCAGAATAATACTTGTTGAAGTGGGGTTCTGTGGTAAAATCTGACCAGGTTTATGAATGAATGGCACCAAATTAAAACATAGTTTAAAACTCACAAGGCCGACAAGCTAAAGGCAAAGTCATGTTGGATTGGTGCCATCTTAAAACACCAACTATCTCACTGTAGTTCATGCAAACATTATTGTGCAAACGTTTGCACTGCTGTTAAATCTTATTTGGAAAACAGAACTTTCTCCGTTCATCTTGACCAATGCGGTTCTRGGGCCAAACCTTTAAAGCACGGCGTTCCCCAAGGCTCAWTCTTAGGTMCTATTTTGTTTATCTTATATTTATTGCCTCTTGGTCAGATTTTTCATATATTTAATGTTTCCTTTCACTGTTTTGTGGATGACGTCCAGATTTATATGCCCCYTAAACTACAAAATGGTACAAATGAATCTSTTCAGCTATTAACAGATTGTTTGACTGAAGTCAAATCTTGGATGGAACAAAACTTTCTTCACCTTAAAGTAAAACTCAAGTTATATTATTTGGTCAAAAATTTCAGACTACAAATCCAGATCAGATTCTTGGTTCTTTAGCTCAGTTTTGTAAGACMTCTGCTAGGAATCTTGGTTTCACTTTTGATAGTACCTTAAAGTTAGATAAACAAGTTAGTTCTGTCGTTAAATCAGRTTTTATCACCTGTGGATTTTAGCAAAASTTAAATCTTACTTGTGTTTTAAGGACTTTGAAGGACTTATCCATGCCTTCATTGCTTCTTGTTTGGRTTACTGCAATTCATTATATAAAGGCATGGATAAATCACAGATGCAGCAACTTCAAATGATCCAGAACGCAGCAGCACCRCTTCTTACAGGAACCARGAAGCATGACCATATAAGGCTGGTGACTTTTCCTCTTTTATCTACAATTTCCTCTTGAGCTGTTGCYTCATTTTCTCCACGTCCTTCTTTTTATTTTTAAGAAGTTCTGAGGCCCAATCTCCAGTCCCGGTCTGTTTGTAATTTTTATATCCCTATGTAGATTTTGTAAACTGATCAAAACTCTTTTGGACATATTTTCTATTGCTATTAATAACAATTTTATCGTGATATATGTTGTTGTTTTATCACCCAGCACTAAATGATGTGAAATAAAACTATTTTTCCCAACAATACTGGACAGCAAGGAGACAAAAGGTACCTGTTATTAACTGCTAGATGAGAAGAAACACCCTGAATGGTTCATAACTTCTGGAATATAATGTCAAGTTAAATTCCTTTTGCATTATTAAGAAATTCAATACATCCTGCTATTCTTTTGGCAACCTTCAGCACCTTTAATGTGCACATAAAGCTCCAGGGATCAGAGTYTCCCATCGGGGCTCAGCCAATAACAACCTTATTGATCAGTTCTTGTGACATTTGTGCTCCCAAATGATTTGGCCAAYCCTTGGCATTTCCATGCTGAGACACGTCACAGCGACAGTGAACAGGTGGTGAAAAGAAAGCACCGCCCCACGTTCAACAAGAAACAGACACTTTAACAAGCCTAAACTCACCTTCTCAATGTCCTCTAAAGTCTTGTAGTACTTGGCTTCAGTCTGCTGGATCTCAACTAAGCAGCAGTTTCTCTTGTCGTCTTCTGTCATTCCCATTTTCTACAGCAACGATACAACACAAGAAAATGTTTTTATATCTTAGAAAAACTCAGCACTGCTGTGCATACCTGATTACACAACATAAGCAGGTTTTAATAGTCAGTTACACATAGTTTCATCAGAATTACTCACTCACTGCCATCAATWTGTTTCTCTATCAAGTCTCGGCTACAGTGGGTTAGCTAATTGATTTTTAAGCCATCTGGAAATGCATAAAATATTGATTTTAAAGAAAAAAGAAAAGAAGTATGCATGTAAATGAGCTTTAGTGCGTCACATGCTTGCGTGTGTGTGCCTGTTTTATTTAGCCCGTTGTGAGGGGTTGAGGAATATGCAGAAAAATATATTAACTTCAACACATGTTCATGAATCATGACAGCTCATACATAAAGTGTCCATGTGCAGGAGTTTATTCATTGTATTTATT